GACGCTGCGGTCAGGTCCTTCAGGTCGTCGACAGTTCCTGGCTGGCCATCACTGGTGTCAACCTTTCTCGTCTACTGCTGTCCGCTGCCCCAGCATCCCCGCCCCTGTCCATGGCCCCCGCCCCTCGTCTTCCCCGCTTCGAACGCACAGCAGATGTGGGGGATCAGCGAGTAATGGTAGATTGTCGATCGAGGCAGGGAGGCCGGGCTCACGATGCTCCCGACGAGTGTCTGGGGACGAGGATGACGACGCTGAGGGCGATGAGGGGGCGAGAACGACGACGAGGGCGATCTTCGCGTTTGTTTCTGGAAGGCCCGCCCAGGGCCCGGGAGAGGAGAGGGGGCGCCCCTCTCGCCCCCAGACCTCCTCCCCTGTCCGCCTCTGCCCTTGGCTGCTCAAACAAGTACTTGCAAGTGTCGACCGTCCAGCCCAAGGTCCAAGGTCGCCTCTTGGCGGCCTGGCGGCGCACTCCGCGAGCAGGGTCACTCCGCCAACCGTCCGACTGTCTGAAAGGGCTCACGCCATCTATTCCGAGGCTGGCTTTAGGGTGGTAGGCTGGATCTTGGATTCCAGGGGCGCGGCGGATGGCAGATGGGAAAGGGGAGGTGGGCAGGGCAGCAGGGAGCAGGGCAAGCGAGGGGGCTTGGATGGTGAAATGGGAGGGGGGGGCAATGACAATGAGTAGGAGGATGATGAGGAGGAGAGGAGGAGGAGGAGGAGGAGGGGAGGGCGAGGAGGAGGGGGAGGGGGAGGAGGCAGGAGGCCCACCATGACAAGGCCTTTTAGGCCATCTGCCATGTATGAGATGAGCCATGAGCCCTTTGAGGCCTCTGAGTTCTGAGTTGCAAAATTGTGGGCACAGTGGCACAGTGAATTTCAGGACTGCGTGATATCACCATCACCCTGGTTATCGGATCGGCTTGGGCCTCAGGGGCGCGGCATGGGGCAAGGGCGTCTATCGATGAACACCCTGGCGCCTGGCGCCAGAGGTCTGTGCGACTGAATTGTCCCCCCATTTCTCAGACCTCGTGGCTCAGGGCCTTAGGGTCTTAGCTTCCAGAGAGTGGAGGTATTCCGAATTGCATGGATCCTGTGATGGGTGTCTTGCTGTCGTTGTCGTTCTCAGATTAGCTCTATGGGCCTATGGGCCGGGCCTATGGGCCTATGGGCCCCACGCCCCACTATGGGCCCCATGGGCTCGGCGGAAAGATGTTGTCGTTCTCAGAATACGATGAGCTCTATGGGCCCCATGGGCTCGGCGGAAAGATGAGCGGTTCTGATGATGACGATCTTTGTGGTCTCGCCGAGCCGCCCCTGGGTGGTCTGCCAGCCGCTGAGCCCGCGGCGGACCGCAAACCGCCTTCAGACGAGGAGGAAGAAGAAGAGAACAGCGGCGAGGAGGAGGAGTTGCATGAGTCAGGAGGGTGCCAATGCTTGGCCTGCGACACGAAGGACACTGACGATTGCCCGATCGCGAGGGTCAAGGGCAAGAAAACTACGATCCGCTGGGCCCGGTACCGCACGAAGAAGGTGAAGAGGGGCGGGATGAAGAAGAGGGTCAAGATCACGGCAGGCCTGTGGTGCGGCATCTGCTACAATCTGTGGAGAAACCACCACAAGACGCAGTTCCCAGATTTGGGAAAGTGCGGCGAGAAGATCCAGGCGTGCAGTGCATTCAAGAAGAAGTTCAAGGGGCGGCGCGTCACCTACATCGAGAAGAAGGGGGGAGGCGCCATAAGGATCCGCAGCGTCAAGGCTGTGGCCAAGAAGGTGACGACGGCAAAGCAGGAGCTCCTGGAGCCTGAAACGGAGTTCTGGGAGTTGCCAGACTACGAGAAGGAGTTCGGTCCAGTCAAGGGAACCAACGCGAAAGTGGAGACTTTCAAGCGCTTCGACGGGCAGATGGTCAAGGGGGTCAGAGTCCAGACAGGCAGGAAGGGTGTTTACAAACTGTCGCAGAGCCGTGCCACCGCCGTGAATGTGGAGGAGACTTTGAAGGACGGGGAGGACGCGCTGGACTCTGAGGAGATCGAGGAGGAGGCGGAGGCCGAGGAAGGGGCGACGTTCGATTTGCTAATCATGAACCCCATGACTGCGGCCCAGCACAGGGAGATGCAGGCCTTGGCCCAGGTCGCGGGAGAGGAAGGAAGCGGCGGCCAAGGCTGAGGTGCAGGCCCTCGATGAAGAATCTGAGGGCGAGGAGGGTGACAAAGCCAAGGACCAGGACGGGGGCGGCAACTGCTCGAGTGAATCCGAGTCAGAGTCCGCATCGGCGACGTCGTCAGGGGATGAAGGCCCCAAGAAGAAAAAACCGAAGGTCGGGGATGCGAAGCTGATGGTGGCGGCCAAAAGGAAGCAGCCGCCAGGGCCTTCGAATGCGAACCCTGGAAAGAGCAGCAAGAAGGCGGCGGCGCCAGCGGCCGCGGCGGCGGCGGCCCCTCAGAGATCCTCGAGGCGGCCATCAACAGGGGCGGCAAGCGCCAGCGCCGCAAGTGGTGCTGCGACGCCAGCGCCGAAAGGTGGCGGCCCACCAAGCATCTGCGGCAGTTCTGCTGCAGGCACCCCGGTCAAGCAGTCGCTGTTGCCAGAGACCCAGAAGCAAGCAGTCGCCCACTTGGCTGCCATCGACGCGTGCGTCAGCGAGTTCATGACAGGCAAGCTGGAGAAAGCCGCCCCTCGGGCAGTTCAAGCGAAGACGAAGGAGTACAAGGACCAGTGCACGGCTACGCGCAGGTTCCTCAAGGCCTGCGGCACTGGGGCGGCTTTTCCTCCTGAGTGCAGCAACCTCCCGGACCGCGTCGACGGGCTGGATGCGATCGTCGAGCTCACCAAGAAGCATAACAAGATGAAGGAGATCGCCGCGGCCAGCTTCAAGGTCGCGATTGGCAGCATTACCGAGAAGATTGCAGACGTCGCCATGCCCGCCTACGTGGTTGAGAAGTACGTCAACCGCTGCTTGGAGGCCCCTGGGAGCCGCGCAGAGGGCGGGGAGTTTAGCTGTTTAAGTTCAGTTTAAGGTTTAGCATGGGCTGGGCTGGGCCCTGGCCCAGGCGCAATACGCAATATGATAATGATATATGATTATGAGCGGGGCAGGGGAGAGGGGGGGTGGGTTTCAAGGAGAAGGGGGAGGGTAATGACAGTAATGAACTCTGGGACTCCTGGGGACTCGAACTCGAATTCTCTTGGACTGGCTGGCCAAAGCCCCCCTGCTGCTGGGCGCTGACCGTCAGCCCTGAGTCCTGGTGGAGTCTGGAACCACAGTGGGCCCCTGGTGTTCCTCGTGCCAACTATGTTTCAGATGCGTGTTAGTGGGGTTGGGGCCCCGACGCTTTGACTTGCGAATCACAGTGCCCTCTCCCTTCTCTCCCTCCTCCTTCTCGCCCATGCTGCTTGGGCACTCTCCCTTTTCCCCTTAGCCTCAGCCTGGAAGTCTCGGCCGCTGTCAATCCTTGTCCTCTCACCTCTTGCTCCCTTATTACTCGATCCCAGGGTCTCTCTACATACAATATGTATATTCTTATATATATATATATACATATAGAGAGATCCTTATCTCTTCATCTCTCTCCCCATTCCCTCTCTCTCTCTCTCTCTCTCTCTCTCTCTCTCTCTCTCTCTCTCTCTCTCTCTCGCTCCCCTAGCCCCCTCTTCCCTTACCCCTTGCCGAGCGCCCTGCAATTGGCGAGGCTTCTCAGACGCTGATGGAGCAGGTGGAGATCCTGGCCTCGAACTCAGAGCCCATGAGCCTGTTCGGGAGCGAAGATATCAAACAAGCGGTCACTATGAGATTGTTCCCAAAAGTGATAATCGCAGCAACGAAAGATAACGCACTGCTGGAGATAGCGAAGGCAGCGAGGGATAGAGCCTTGATCGACCCCAGCTCCTACCCCAGCGAGTGCGTCAAGGATTTCAACGCCTATTGTGTCTTGGCAGATGTTGCGCAAGATGTCTCAGAGAAGGACTTGGCCCAGGCAGCTGCTGGGGGGCGGGGGGGAGAAGGGGATCGTGGCTGGCTCGAAGTCCCTTCCCCTATTCAGGTCGTGACTCTTGCCTACATTTGTTTAACTACTCTGGCTGCCCTGGTCCTGACTCATGACTCATGACAGCCCCCTCGCGGCCCCATCGGCCCCTTTCCTTGCCGGGGTCCTGGAGTCCAGGCCCCGCCGCCTCCCACTCCCAACTTTCGGTCCTTGCTTGGTCGTCATCGTCGTCGTCGCGTCGTCGTCAGGGACATCCATCGTCGTTGAGGTCGTCGACGTCGTCGTCGTCAGAGTCGTCAGTCGTCGTCGTCGCCGCCGCTTGCTGCGCGCCCCCTCCCTGGGAGGCCTTGGACATCATGACTGGGAAGAGGCCCTCGCCGATCGTCTCCACGATGAAGAAGGACAGCTCCCTCAGAGTCGCCCATGCGATCAAGGACGCGACCGATCGCATGAAAGAGGTCCAGCAGCACCATGAGAGCAGCCAGATCGCAGAGAATCTCAAGAAGGCTGTCACCAAGTTGACGCCAGACTCTACCCTGGAGGACCATTGATCGTCATTGCCATTGCTATCGCAACTGGGACCGCACGAGCATGAGCGAGAGGAGGACTCTGGGAGGACGAGGAGGGCGAAGCTGGGGGGGGCCCAGGCGGTGGAGGAGGAGTAAAGAGGGAAAGAGGGGGGAGGGCAGTGGCAGGGCTGGTAGGCATGGGAAGAACAGGAGAATGATAATGCAATGTAGGATGCAATTCATGTAGGGCGCGGGGACAGGGGCCCAGGGCCAGGGTAGTCAGAGGAGGGAGAGGATGGGGGGGGGAGGCCGAGGAGGGGCCGAGGGGGGGGAGGAGGAGGCTCAGAGCAGAGGGCAGAGCACAGGTGCCTTCAGCGCAGGAGGGGAGAGGAGGACGAAGAGGAGGAGGAGGAGGAGGAGGAAATATATGATATGTACAGATCGAAGAGCAACATAACAATTAGACATTACTTCAAAACACGTCCCGCCGCTGCCCCTCCCCCCTCAGGATTTGCACGCCGCGGTTCGTATGGCGTGCAAGGGCGGGTCGTCGCTGAGCATGGCGCTCTTTGAGGAGCTGGGCGCCCACATGCGCGAGGCGGCCGAGCACATCTTGTTGAAGAACTTGCGCAAGCTGTCCACTGGAGTCTTCAAGCACGTTACGATTGGCCACGACGTATTCGACCCTGATGCTGTAGAAGATCTCGACGAGGAAGGGAAGAAGAGGGTGTCGAAACACTTCATGGATGGCTTGATGGATGTGTCCACAGTCCTGGGTGAATTAAAAGCAATCGAGTCGTGGCAATCTACAGAGGTCGATGCCGCCTGCAAAGCGATCAAGGCCAAGGACCAGCACCGTGGCCCAGCAGATCATCGCGTCGAGGTGTTCAACCACGTGGCCGAGGTCGCGAAGAGCGCCGCTGCGCTGATCAACTTCTTCAGGTTGACCAAGGCCCCCAGAATCCGCACCAGTCTGGAAGCAACTGCAGCGACTTGATTTCAGCGGAATTGATCGAGGCATCGAAGGCGTATGCGTCCTGCACTCTCCCGGAGAATGATATCCTTAACCTGTGGCAGAAGCATCGGGACAAATGGGAACCCCGCCTCAAGACAGAGGAGTGTGACTTCAATCCTGGCAACATGAGTGAGATCATCAAAGGGCTCTTTATGGCGTTCAGAGTGATAGCGGTTGACGTGCAGGCGCATTGCTGCTCCCTGTGCGTGCATGATGGGACTGGTGATCCTTCTAGGTCGGTTCTGGCCGACCTGCCCGTCCTCGAACTGGAGATGATCAACAAGCTGGAGGTCACCGCCGACGGCGACATTGCTGACGCGGACGGGATGCACGACGCGATCGAGAAGTGCCGCGCGTTCTCGGCCAAGGACCAGGAGAATTTCGACATCCAGTTGGGGCTGGCCGCCGCCGCCAAGATCATGGTGCACCTGCCAGGGCACCACCAGGTGGAGAACGACGACATCGACCCGCTGCTGGCTTTCCGCGTCAGGGCGACCGACGCATTGAAAGCGATGAACTCAATCAATTTCAAAGCCCCCTCTGCGTTCCAGGAGCGCGCTGGTGAACTGCATTGCTTGTCTGGGGGACTTTTCAGACACCCCCTCTGCCCTGGGTCTCTGGGCCCCCCAGGGTGTCGCTGGAGGTGGCGATGGGGGGCGGGCGGAGGGATCGGGCCCCCTACAGGAGTACAGCGACGCACTGAAGCACCATGGGAAAATCAAGTCGCTCCTGAGGCGCTCGACCGCGCTGGAATGCGCGAGCGGCATCACGGGCCACCTTGCGACGTGGGCGGAGAAGGGCCGCGAGAAGCTGATGTTGCAGCTGACGGCCGTCACGAGCCGCATGGCCGAGACGACGACGACGCTGACCGAGAAGACCAAGGACATCGACCTCAAGTTCCTGCAGAAGGACGGGCTCAGCAACATCGAACTTATCAAGGGGATCATCGACATGCCGGAGAGGTCTGCGCATGCGACGACGACGACGACCACGACGACGACCGCGACGATCACGACCACGACCGTCCGACAACCACGACGACCGCGACGATCACGACCACGACCGTCCGACTACCACGACGATCACGACTCGACCGCGACGACGACGACGACGACGCAACGTTTTGAGAGGTCCACGGTGATCCTGGCAATCAAGAAGCTCAACGCTGATATCGGCCAGTGGCGCGAGTTGAGCACCCAGGCCATGGGCATCGTGGACGTCAAGGACTTGGAGAAGACGAACAGCGACGCGGTGACGGCGAGGAACAGAGCGCGCAGGATTCAGAACGATTGCAGCGGGTGGGACTGGTGGCTGGCAGGAGGATGAGGAGGAAGGAGTAGGGAGTAGGAGGAGGAGGAGGGGAACGGGGTGACAGGGGAGAAAGGGGGGGGCGAGAAGGCGGAGGAGGAGGACGCACAGGAGAGAGGAGGAGAGAGCCGGCGGCGCAGGCCTCATATCCGATGTCAAGGTTGTTCAATGCCAGGTCGAGGTCGAGGCTGCAGGTTGGACCTCCAGGGGCAGGGGCCCAGGCTAGTGAGAGGCGGGAGGAGGGGGGGCCAGGACGGCGAGGGGAGGGTGGGGGAGGGGGGGGCTACTCTGGCGGCTGGAGGGCCTTCTAGGGACTCTAAGACTAGGAGAAAGTTTTGAGAGAGAGACAGGAGGAGGGGGAGGAGGAGGAGGGGGAGGAGGAGGAGGAGGAGGAGGAGGAGGAGGAAGAGGCCCTCCCAAAATTCCAACTCCAATCGTCTTGAAAAGCCTCTGGAGGCCAGCCAGAGGTTTAGGCCCTGAAACCAGAAGCGTCCAGGTCCAGGGCCGAGGTTCGTTTCGAGGGTCGAGGTCCCTGGCTGAGGGGGTGTGGATCCTCGTTGCCACGGCCGGCCCCCCTCGACGCCCTGGTCAGAGTGCGCCCCAACAGAGATCCATTGCCGCTCTGGACCTCGCATCGCCACGGCCGACCTCCATCCTGGTCAGAACGCGCCCTGTGAGAAGTCCAGGGGCCATTGCCTCCTTGGGCTTGTGACGCGGCTTGTGGGAGGGCCTCCTGGCGGGCCTCCTCCTCCGTCCCCCCCTCTTCCTCGACTCCCTGATTTCTTTTTCCGTTCTCCCCCTTCTACTCTTCCCTCCTCCAGGCGGCCTCCCCCCTCCTCCTCCTCCTCCTCCCCCCCCCTCCCTCTTCCCTCTCTTCTGCCGCCCCATGAGGATCGTTACCATCAGGACGGGGCTCGTGATCTACACGAAGAAGAAGACAACGGAGGCGGCTCGCGGCGTGCCGCGCCCCCTCCAGCGTCGCCCTTTCACCCTCCCCATCCCTCCCGCCCTGGCCATCGCCTCTTTCCCTACCCTCCCTTCCTCTCCCCCTCTCCCTGTCTCGTGTTTTTGTTCCCCCTTCTCTCTCTCTCTCTCTCTCTCTCTCTCTCTCTCTCTCTCTGTCCCCTGAATCCCCCCCCCCCTCTCCTTCCACTGCCCCTTCCATCCATCGCCCCTCCCTCCCCATTTCCTTGATCTCCCTGAGTATTCCAGTATTCCTCCTGGCCCCCTTCGCCTCCTGACTACCGCGCCCCTTCATTCCCATTTTCCATCGCTCCCTCACAGTCTCCCTCGCTCCCTCGCTGTGCTCCGTCACTCCCTTGCTCGCCCTCGCCGTCCCTACCTCCCTCCCTGGCCCCTCTGCCGCTCCTGGAGGTGGAGGCCTTCTTCACGGAGTGCAGCGCCTTGTCCGTCACCCTGCCCAAGGCGTTGAAGCAGGGGCTGGACGAGGTTAAGAAGACGGGCGAGCAGGAGGCCCCGGCGGCCTGAGTAGAGCGAACAGGAGGATGAGAGGAGTCTAGGATGAGTCCAGGGTCCAGGGAGGAAGAGGATGAGTGATGAGTCAGTCAGGATGAGTCCAGGGTCCAGGGAGGAGTCAGGAGTCCAGGGGATCAGGGAAGGATCAGGCGGAGGATGGAGGATGAGGCTCGGATGAGGAAGAGGGGATAGGGAAGAGGAGCCAAGAGTCAAGAACAGTCAAGAGGAGGAGAGGAGGATTCCACCAGAGGAAGCTCTCTCAGGGCTGAAGGCGGCCTGTGGCCAGGGCGCCAGGGCAGAGCGGCCCGGCCCAGGCCGCGGCCAGCAGGCGGCGGGCAGGGGCAGCAGAGCGAGACAACTGGACGGACGTGGAGTCCAGTGCTTTGGGTGCTCGGCGTTCTGCCCGCCCGCCATTTTGAACGCGTGGCGAAGTGAGGATTTCCTCACCTTTGTTTGCTCTTTCCCAACTCTGCCTCCCCTCTCGCTCTTCGCTCTTCGCTCCTTGCCCCCCTGCCGTCCTCCTCCTTCCCTCATCTCATCCTCATCCTGGACCCATCCTCATCCCTCTTAGACTCTTAGACCCTGGTTGCGACCAGCACCGTCGCCCGCTGCGAGGGAGGGAGACGGGGGGAGGGAGGAGAGAGGGGAGGGGGAAGATGGGCCAAGGACGGAACGCACTGCCTCAGTTCGCGGCGCGCCGCTGGCGCCGCGCGGTGGGCTGAGCGGCTCAGCAGTCTCTCCCCTCTCGTTCCTGGCTTCGCCCTCCTACTGTAGCTCCTACTCGGTCCTACTCAGACTCACATCTTAGTTCTTGTTGCACTCCCTTCTCCTACTTTCCTACTCTTGCTCCCTGTATGGAATCCTGTCCACTCCTCCCACCTATGGCCTATGGCCCTCGCCCTCCCGCCCTCCTGGCTGCCGCCTCCAGCTCGTCGCGCCCGGGGAGCGCATGGCGGCGCGGCCGCAGGGCCTGGCGATTGCCGCGAATGGGCTGGAGGGGACGGGTTCAACCGCGGCGCAAGGAACATCTGTTGGGGGTATTGGGGGTCTGGGGCTTGGGGGTCGAGGCGCCGTGGGTGACCGCCTCCCCTCCCTAGCCATTCTGGCATTCGCCGCGTCGCGCAGCAGGAGCGCCGCGCGAGGCCGCCGCGCCACATGAGAAAGAAAGCGGCGCGGCGTGTCGGCAGAGCCCTGGCAGAGCAGGGGGCGAGGTGGGTCGGCAGAGCCCCAGCAGAGCAGGGGGCGAGCGCGCAAGCAGAGCGCGCGCGCGTGTGCGTGTGTGTGTGTGTGTCTGTGTGTGTGATTGTGAGTGTTCGTGGTTGTTTGTGCGTGTGTTGTGTTGTGTTGCTGTCGTCGTGATGTGATGTTGGTCTTGTGTTTTGTGTTTGTTATTGCTATTCATTGTTTGTTATATATGAATATATTACGCACATATGTTACAAATGTTGTGGTATTATTGCGCATTGCCGCGCTGCCGTTGCGTTATTGTAATTTTGAACAGCGATACTGCCGCCATCCGTTTCCTCATGTTTTTTTAATGTTTTTATGTGTGTTTTCTTTGTTTGCATAGCTGTTTTTTTAGGCCTGATCAATCGAGGAGGTTTTGGGACGAAAACACTACCAGTGCGTTTTAAATTTGCCCAGAACCAATGAAATAATCTTTAAATCAATTGTGAATTATTGCGTATGAGATATTGAGAAAATTTCAATTGAAAACCAAAGATGCCAAGTGGAAATCTATAGGTATATATAAAAATAATAAATTCCAAAGGAAAATTGGGTAGCCTAAAAAATCACATGAAAAACAACAAGAAAACAGCGGTGCGGATTGGCTGGAACAGAGGTCCACAATGATGAATGGAGAATGGATCGCCTAACCCAAGACGGCCCAGAGAGGCCCCCAAGACGGACTCCGAAGCCACCAGACTGCCCAAGAGCGCCCTAAGACAGCCCACAGAGCCCCCGAGAGGCCTCGAAGACGCCCCAGGGAGGCCCCTGAAAGTTTCCTCAGAGAACCCGAAAGGAGAAAGAAGAAGAAGGGTGGAAGACGACGACGAATACGAGGAGAGACATCTGTGTTACATGTGAGGAAGACCGACGAAGTGGTGCAAGACGAGGACAGGAAGAGGCCAAGAGGAGAAGAATACAAACCCTCCCTGCTGCCTGTGACCCACGATGGCAGCTTCTAGACGCGGGGATGCGGAAAACACATCTTACCCACGTTGAAAAAATGTTGCTTCCCTTACCAACTCGTGTTCCTTCCGCGTCAGCACACATACATACACGCACACACGCACACACGCACACACGCACACACGCACACACGCACACACGCACACACACACACACACACACACCCACACACACACACACATCCCTGCCGCCCCTGGCCCTGAAACAAGACCCAGGCAATGCCAAGGGGGAAGGGGGGGGCACCACGAACGGCGCCGCCGCCTCCTCAAGGGAACGGGCCCCCATGACCTGTGACCGCCAGCCCCCTCCTCCTCCTCCTCCTCCTCCTCCTCCTCCTCCTCCTCC